AACCAATGCTTATTCTTTGGAGTCGAAATAATCAAACTCGCCAGTCAAATTTTCACAGCTATAGTCATGATCGTTTTTTGAAGTAACGAATGTCTATGAATCACATGTACATTCGTTTTTTTCTTTTCTCCACAAGAGTAATCCATGGAGAAATGGAGATTAGTTGCAACCTCAATGTACATTATGATTTTTTTTTTTGGAAAAAAAACGCTTTTCGAGTCCTCAAAAGCACATTTAAAAGCATTTCGGTAAACGGGCAGTGTTATCGACGAAAGGGTCCAGGTCCAGATCCAACTTGGATCCTACGGGGTCAGGTCGGGTTGACCCAACCGGACCTAGCATTTATGTGTATGGTACATATGAATATATGGTAACTATGTGTTATAAAATATAAACCATATTTGTTCTTTTCTCAACCCACTTGAACCCGACCAAGGTCTAGGTCTGGTCTAGGTCCAGACTGATGTAAGAACTCGTCCTTTTGAAAAACAACATATAATAGGTTCAAAATGAGCTTTGATTCTCAAACTTATAAATATGAACTCAAGAGACACCAAGGTTGCAACCAAGCTTACACCCCAAGGGACAAATTCCCAAAGATTTGGAAACAAACTTCTCAGTTAACGTAGTTTAACACTGTTAAAACATTCCAAATTACATTTCTTTCTCAAATGAGGTATCCATTGAAGTTCCCAAAAGCCAAGATCGTTTAAACAGCAAAGAAACGCATACATAGATAGCACAGGCATTTGGCGGTAAGGAGAGAGAGAATGTTCACTTTCATTAGCAAGAAGTCGGGCTTTGAGGACCTCCCTTCACTTCCAGCATTACTGAACTGCTTAATGCCAGTGAAAAATCAGAATAGCAAAACTGCGAATACTCGGATATGCCGCTTTGGGAGTCTTAAAAACGAAGAATTTTCTATCCAACATGATCACAAAATTCAACCACTACCATAGGCATTGCTTCTCTACGGCCTGTACAAACACACATATCTTATGTGTTAATCAAACACAAAATCAGAAACACTCTCTCTCTCTCTCTCTCTTCTCTCTCTCTCTCTGGGTCAGTGTTCGCAAAATCGGCCGGTTAGAATCGGAACCGGCCTGTTAGATCGCTACCGGTGGAGTGACGATTCCGGTTAGGGTCAGTTTTAAAGTACACCAAATAAGACGGCACTCTCCAAAAAAAATCGGGACAAAACCGTCCGGTTCAATGTCGAACCGGTGGTTTTTCTTCAAAACCGGCCGGTTTTCCTAATCGGTCCGGTTTACCGTTGTTTTCATCCGTTATAACACCATTTTAATGCATAAAATAACGGTCGTTATTTTTATACATACCTGTTATTTTTCATATAACAAGATTTTGTAGTTTTTTTTTTTCTTCCATTTTGTAATTTTCTTTTTGGTTTTTTCGGTCAAAGATTGATTTTATACACCGTAAAGTTTCAATAGACCATCGATTATTGAATCAAAAGTCAAAAAACAAAGAGCTCTTGGCGGATTGAAATGGGGATTTTTCAAAATTAAAAATTTCTGCCATTCTATCAAATGCAGCTTTAATACCTCATAAATTTTCATAAAAGTGGAGGGCTTTGATTGATTATTAAAGGATTCAATGTTTACATATTTCAATTTTTCCAAAACGATGAAGATTTGAGGTTTTTTTGCGCCCGAAGTACTGTCGTGCGAAGAATTGCTTTTATCCTAACAAATTGATTTCTGATCGATTTTTATCCAATTGATTACTGAAGTTTGATCATAAAAGCCTTATCTATCAAATAAACTAGTTATTTTGATTTACTATTGATTAAATGTTTTTATATCAACTTTTTTTGCTGTGTTTTTTCCTGAAATTTTTGTGAAGTGAAAAAATTGCAATTTTTTTTAATAAAGATCTCAATAGTGAATAAATATTCATGAAGTTTGGGGAATTTGAATCTTAATTGAAGTATCTATCATATCCCCCATGTCGATTTATTCAAAAAATGAAAGATTTGAGGTTAATTTGTGATGAATATAAGAAAAAAAGAATATATTCTTTTTTTTTTAATTTTATATATTTTTTTGGTGGGCTTGTTGGATTGTTTTTAATGTTATATATTTTTTACAAAAATATGTTTTTTTGTGATGAATATGAGAAAAGAATATTTGTTTCTTTTTAATGTTATATATTTTTGGTGAGTTTGTCGGATTGTTTTTAATGTTTTATATATATATATATATATATATATATTATAAAAATATTTTTTGTGATAAATATGAGAAAAAAATTGTTTCTTTTTAAGGTTATTTTTGGTGTATGTTATTGATGTCTGTGTTCTCAACTTCCTGTTTAGTTGTAACATTTTTTTCTAATTTGTTTTTTTTATTTGTTACAAGCTATCTATCATTTCATTTGTTGCAACTTCATACTCTTTAAATCTGTTTATTAGCCCTTATGAAAAAAAGAGGTAGAAACTAAAAAGGGTTTTACTCTCCTCTCATATTTCCACATGCTAAACTGGATAAAAATTTAATCTGTTTTTTTTTTAAATGTGTATCTTAATTTTACATTTTAAAATTACCATCTCATATAATTTTTTTTTTTTTTTTTATGTTAAAACCCAACTCAAAGGTTAGTAAGTAAATGAATTTTGGTCATTTCAAAATCGATTTGGCCATTTGAAAATTGACTTGGCCATAATTTTTAAAATACGTCATTTGGCAATTTGAAGCAGCACTTAAAACCTTGACCCACACTTTGCATTTGATAAACAAGTTACTAATAAATGAAATGCTCTCTCTTACTCACAACCCTTTGAAAAATTGAGAACATCATGCTACAAAAAAATACACTCTCAAACCCAATTCTAAATCGTATTAAAGGGTTTTTCAACATTAAAACAAAATTTTTCAACATCAACATTAAAACAATATAGAAGCATATATTGTTGCATCATCCATTGTTAGTTGGACTTTGTAACTTCACCCATTGAATTTATGTGAAATTATAAATTGAGTTGCATATTTTGATAA